TGACTTGTCTGTTAATTGTAACGATGTGTCTGATGTTAAGCATGACATGGTTGATGTTACTGTTTCGCCGTTCAGGGATAATAGGAACATCAAACTCCCTAAATTTGAACCACGGTGTTTTGATGGAAACCCGGCTGATTATTTACAATTTGTAAAGGAGTTTGAGATCATGTTGAGTGGTATTTTATTAAATGATGAATTGAAGTTAATGTATTTGATGAGATATTGCACTGGAGATGCTGCAAGAGCTATACAGTGTCGTAAGTTTATGAAGCCAAAAGAGGGCTACGATGAGGCTATGAGCATATTACGTCAAAGGTTTGGAAGACCTTCGATGATTGCAGGGAAATTATTCGAGGCTGTTAAGGGTAATGGTGGTCAATTACAGGATGACTCCCAGGCACTCACTGAGTTTTTAGATAATTTGCTAATTTACAAGAATGGAATGATTTCGATGAATCGAATGAGTGACCTCAACTCGAGTTTTATACTAGAAGTAATAGCAAGACGTCTACCTACTCGACTGCAAAGGAAGTGGGTGAAGATGAGCTCCCGTATGGAGGATGAGGGTATCGAGCCAAAGTTTGATGATATCCTGAAACTGGTAAAAGATAGTGTCAATCAATCTATGAGCAAGTTTTCCAGTCTATTACATCTCACCCCTAGAATAGAGCAGTCTGAGGGTAAAACGCACTCATTGATGACGAGTAGGCCTCAGAGAGGTGGATATCGAGAAGGCTCCATGATGTCTAGTAATGCATATAGACCTAGTGAGTGTAACAGGTTTCGTAGTACATCCTCAACAGATAAGTTACAAGATGCAAGACAAACACGGTTTTGTTTTACACGTGTGCAAGAGGTGCATACAGAAGTGAACTGTGAACCGGTGAGCAAGTTCAGTGATAAGCTAAATGTAAACTCCAGGTCTGACTCCGAATTGTGTGACGATAACGGTGTTGTGAAGAAGTCTGTAGTTGCAACTGGTAAGCCGTTGTTGAATAGAGTGTCACAGAATAGAGTTACTGCTTCAGAGTGCAGTTCTGACTCCACAAGTTTACAAAGTATTACTAGTCAGAGTGAAGATATAAAACCTTTAATGATTTGTGAGGAGGAACCAAAATTGTCTACTTCTGTTATTAAAGAGTTTGAAAATGATGAAGTTGACGGTAAAGTGAATATTCGTGATAATGATCATGATACTTCACAGTTGTCTTTGGTTGATGATGAGATGATAGATATGCCTACTACTGCTAAGTTGAACAAAGGTTCTGTACAACTTGAACGTGAAGTAGAATTAAACGCAGATGCAGTTGCAGAAGGCATGCATACTTGTGAGACCGTCAGTGTAATTGATCAGCATGTAGCCCACCTATCATCAGATGATAGTGCTAAACCCGAACTAGTAGTGAAAGACAGCAGTGGTGGTAATCTTGCAGTTGGACAACTATCTGAGAGCCGAACAAGAACAGCTTCTGATCCACCACTAAGTTCATCACCTTGTGTCACTCAGTCATCGTTGGCGCTGTCATCCACAATGAAACAGTTGCCCATCAACTCAAGTATCTTTTGCAATGACTATGATAGTATTGGTGCGTTTGAAAAGACGAAAGATATTGCTCAGTTTAGTGAGAATAAGCCAAGTGTAAAGGAGAGAGTAATTGTTAAATTGACTTTCACGAATAAAGGCATTTCTAGTTTCAAGTTACTAATTGAATGTTATTATCTTTGGTGTAAATTACTCTGTTTCTACACTTGGTTGACCAGATACGTCGTATGTTTGTTCGTCATCTATATTCTACGATACAATGACATGAGCGTGTTACTGTTCAGATTTGAGGATTTAGCTCATAGAAGGAAGTCAGCAAATGAACTCTGCGACGATTTTCCAACCTAGGGCGTCAACCTGAGAAGGGTTGTAGGCGTACTGCTGTAAGTCCTACAATTCTTCAAAGGGTAGCGCATCAATGATCAGTCCAGTGTGCTTGGTGTATGATCTTGCACATATGTTCATATTGTATATACTGAATCGATATCATCTGTCATCTAGCTGTTGGTAATTCTGTTTGTATCCGGATGACTTTCACTTGGATCATCAACCTGAGAAGGAATGTAGGCATACTGCTGTAAGTCCTACGGTTCTTCAAGGGTAGTTTGTCGTGTCAGAATCCACAACATTTGATGTGTTGATTGTACATATGTTTGTGTTAAATAGTTGTGTGAGTTCCAATTGATGTAATTGTTGGTTAATCTTGTTTGTGTCTGGACATTCCACAACTTACAATCGTCAACCTGTGAAGGGTTGCAGGCGTACTGGTGTAAGTCCTCCAATTCTTCAAAATAATTCCACCAAGACATGATCCGCGAGGTTATTTGTACTGTTTGTGTATACGTGTGGTGTGTCTTCGCAATTTGTGATTTTGGATCAGTTGTGTTTACTCGTTGTTTTCGTGCCTTGTTTTTATTGCATAATTTTGTTAAAATTTTCGTCGTGCTTACTTCTGAAGTTGTTTCTTGTCTTCTACATCCGTGAATGAATTGATTGATGTTAGAGACAGCAGATGGGTCGTATACGCCGGGGAGGCTAGGCTATTGCTGAGAATGAAACGCACCCGGAGATAATTGTTAGCTGCGGTCCGACACGCCGGGGAGAAAGAGTGTAAACGACTGAGGCTCGCATGCGTCACCGCTATTAGAACTGGGGCAGAATGAGTGACAAGCGATTTCAGTGGTAATTGGTAATGAGTAGATAAGAGGATGTGCGTGGAGTATCGTGAGGTGCTGCCATGGTCACGTTGCATTCTGCAAGAGTCATTCTAGCAAGCGGCGATTGTGTTGCAAGATGTCAAGAGGAGGTCTCTGTCTGGAGGCGCAGGTCGTCATTGATGTGTGAGATTGTGCTGTGGGTATGCTTGTGGTGTGTTGGCTTTTCTGTTTGTTTTCCATTTCAGCTCTGTCCGTGTGACCCAGGTTCTCGCAATGGCATCCAAGTCGACGTGTATTGGTCGTGAAGGAAAAAAGTGATGGATCCCTTTTTTGCCGGGGAGTGTCATTGGAGTTGAAGATTGAACGATCAATTCTTGGTTGTTTGCTCAAAATCAACTTCCCCAATTTTCGCGGAGGCATCAATACGACAGTCATCGTCTCATCGGTCGCTGTTCAGAAAGAAGAGTGAAACATCGTCAGAAGTAATATAACGATTTATTATTGTAATATTTGTTTACAGACCTTAGTTCGCTTATTCCTTTTATATTTTGGTGTAACAATAAACAAATCTCAAGCGGCAGATCAGTGTTTTGGTTTTTGCGTCCGTTATAACTAAGCGTTTCTGAGAAATCTTCGAAGAACAGCGTGGGCCCGAGCGTAGCGAGAGCTGGGCATTAACGGTTTATGAGACGTGAGTGACAAGTGATTACGGGTAAATTTTCAATTATCATCAAAAATAGACATCATTTCAGATTTGTAGTCACGTCTTTTCATAATGTCGAATCCAGAACCTTTATCAGGTTAAGAAATAATTATATTAGAATTTTTCCGTAGCTCTTTCAAGGCTTCGAAATGCTGGGAATTTAAAATACTTTTCTATTTTGGGTTATTGCTTAAAACCTGGTTCATCAGGAGATATAAGGTAGTCAGAGCACCAAGACCCACTCTCTAACTCGCCGCTAAGAAAGACGTGTACATCAAGCTACCCTATATGGGACATCAAAGCAGCTTGATAACTAGACAAAGGCTGAACGCTGCTGTTAAAAAGACTTTTTATGCAGCCAATATCATTATATTAGAGAATGTAAAGCCATTATATCTATCTAAGCCCTTCGAACATGCGAAAAATGACGTCAAATCCCACTGTATTTACCAATTTGAATGTATGTGTGGACACACATAGATAGGGAGGGCTCATCGATCTCTGCAAGTAAGGGCTTCATAGCATATTCCAAAATGGCTCTAGAAACAAATGGAATCGTCAGAACCTATTAACGGTGAGAACAGGAGACCTAGCTCCTCTATTGCGAAACATATTATATAGACAGGTCATAAAATTTATGTTAACAGATCTTTCAAACCTATTTATAAAACGTGTTTGGGGCGTATCCTAAAGTTTGTAGAAGCCCTAGCAACTAGAAAGTTCAAGCCACCTTTATGTGTTCAAAAACAATTTGTCATCACATCAAACTTTCCTTGGTAAAATTTTATTTCGATACCATAGCAGATGTACTATTACCTCTGCTATTTGGTTTAATGGTCTTCCTTGTTGTTTCGACCTTGAATATGTCCTTTTAACTTGACCTAAGTCTATTTTTCTCACCTCTTACCTCCTTATTAATTTCATATATATTCCTATGACAAGTCCGTGTGTGATCAGATTGTTCGGAATGTGCTGCGCAAATTCATTACACGATTCAGACAAATTACGTCTTCTTATCGCTTTATGTAAATATAAATGAACGCAGCGTTTATAGGAGAAGCACTTAGAACATTGCCCTCAGTGTATTTGAAATTATTTTTGTTTCAGGGGATCCATGTTTTCTCCAGTCTTCCGGAAAACTACTACGCCCACTCAATAGGCGTTTCGAAAAATTGAAATACGACGGTTATTTCATGCGATATACGGGAATAATATGTATATAATCTGTGCATTTGAGTACACAACATTAGTTTTCTTCATAGACGAAATTAAATGTCACTGTTTTTACAAGCCCAACTGATTCAGAAAAATGGTAAAAACAAGTTATTCTGTTCAGACACGTGATACGTGGAGACTATTTCTTTCAGGAGTAAATTGCTCGTGCAAATTATGCCCCGTGATATTTCTTTCTCTGTTCAGTATCAGTGCTTCGCCGTTGAACCGCATTTATAACTGGAACATTGTGACCACTCTTACCATTATTATTATTTGTATAGTTCTTAAACGTCCTTTTAATCTCGAAATAGCACTGAGAAATTAATAAATGTTTCAGCCGGTATGCATTGTATTTTGAATTTAAGTGGTCAACTAAAACAAATACAGGCGGCTAAGGGCGCGGTTCACGTTTGAGGTAAGTGTAGTAATTCGAACTCAAGAGGAGACGCAAATTCAAAAACTGGTGGCTGCTGAATACTGAAGGCCTAGCTCTTTGTTGTAAATATATACATCTTTTTAACTTCCCTGCCGCGTTCTGCTTCTCACCTCACCCCGTGTGCTTGATTTCTGATACTGTTTGTATTGTTCTATTATATAAGGTTGTGTTTGGTGTTCTCCTAAGGTCTGGTTCTAATTTGTTTGTTGAACGTCCATCTTTACTTTTGTTAGAACGTGTTAGGGGCATTTTAACCATAGTTATGAATTTTATGATTGTGATTCTGTTCACACAGCTCGCGTTATCATAGTACTATGAAAGTTTCTCATACGTATTCCAAGGGTATCTTATTAAGCAGTTTTTTAAGATTTGCCTCCGTAGCCACCGTACTATATGAATATTCACGATATGAAATGGTCTTCACTGGTGTAGGATACTACCTGTTTTCTTACCTACAAGCCACCAGTATGCTACGAGACCTACCTCCATTCATTTGAGATGTCATTCAAACAACACCAACTGAAAGTTAAGAAGATTGTGTTTATTCTACTATCACAGGAATATTACGTTGAATTGATTATTCAAAGATACGTTTTGGAGGGACATCCCAAACTCATATTCGACGTATGAGGGGCCTTAATCAACGACCAGCACATACTGTATAGTATAACTATGAATGGAGATCGTAATCGGCCGTCTGAATGATTAGAAAGCTGGTGAAGACAACTGTTGTGTCGAGAACTTCACCTGATTTCGTATCGTTGCTTATTATTTCCTTTAATGGATATAGGAATATAGGGCTTCAACCGCGCGTCTCCATTGCGTTCGGTTCTCTGCTAGAGTTTTCACCTGCCTCTACGTCTGCCCACATGTTTTCATCTCCTCTTCACATGACCTCCTCCAAGTCACCCTCGTACTGACGACCAACTCGCCGCTTCCCTTACGGGTTCCACTCGAGCGATGGCTTGTCTAGTGATGTCACTTGATGGTTTCCGCAGAGTATGGCCAATCCATCTCCATTTCTTCCTGCCTATTTGTTTCACAATCGGTTCCTGATTGGTTAGCTCATTGACAGAGATCCCTGTTGCCGATCTCTTCTGGCCGGCCATGTGATCTTGAGTATTGAGCGAAGACAACTGTTGATGAAGGTCTGTTGTTTCTTCAAAGTGACCTTCGTGACGCGTCAAGTCTGATCCATATAGTAGCACTGACTTAACATTAAAGTTGAAAATCCACATTTTGTTTTTCATGCTAAGTGCTGTTGACCTCCACACAGACTTAAGAGTAATGCAAGCTTGTCTTGCTTTTCCGATTCTGGCTTCGATATCCTCGTCAGTTCCGCCTGTAGTTGAAACGATGCTTACCGGGTCGGTCAGTAACTAAAGGAGGTTGCTTCTTGCGGATTTATCCCGTTTATGCTGATTGTTGTTGTTGGCCAGGAATCTTCATCGCCTCTGTTTTATCTATGTTCACCTGAAGTGGTGTCTTATCTTTGGTGCTTCTTCTGCTAGCTTGCTGCTTTTCACCTGCACATCTTCCAGTTTGTGGGAAATCAGACACATATCATCGGCGAAGTCCAGATCCTTCAAGTATTTTGTGTGAGTCCATTTTATGCCTGTTTCCTCATTGCCCGTTGTCTGTCGCATTATCCAATCTACTGCAATCAGAAAAATCATTGGCGATAGTAGACAGCCTTGCCTCACTCCCGTCTTCACTTCGAAGGCTCCCGTAAGTTTCCCGTTGTGGATTACTTGGCATGCAGCGTTGTCGTACAACTGTTGTATGAGATGTATAATTGTCGATGGCACCCCGTAGGGGGAAGTAGTTGCCAAATCACCTCTCGATCGGCGCTGTCGAAGGCCTTTGCAAAGTCGATGAAGTTGAGGTAGATAGGTGACTGCCATTCCAAGCTTTGTTCAATGATAATCCGTAGTGTGGCGATTTGATCAATACATGACTTGTTTCTCCTGAATCCAGCTTGTTCCGGTCTGAGTTTTCCATCCAGGTTGACGTGTTTGATTCTCTCCAGGATGATGCGGCTTAGTATTTTGCTTGGGCTGGACAGGAGCATAATTCCGTACCAGCTTTCGCACTGACCTAAGTCTCCTTTCTTTGGTAGTTTGAATAAGTATCCCTTCTTCCAATCCTCAGATACTTTGCCCTCTTTCCGCACCTTCTGCAGTAGTGGCATCATCAGGTCCGCTGTTGTCTCTGGGTCCATTTTCAATCATTCTGCTGAGATTCCATCTGGTCCTGCTGTTCTTCCAGCTTTTAGCATCTAGATTGCCTTCAGGACTTCTGATTTCATCGGGGGGTTGATGTTCACTGGTAGTTCTGCTTCCGTTGTTGGTATTGTTGGGCGCGTTGTAGGTGGCGGTCGATTTGGAAGTCTTTTGAAGTGTTCAGCCCAGTGTTTTCTTTGCTCTACTTCTATGGTGATTGACTTTCCATTGTCATCCTTCACTGGCTTAATTTGTGTCGAACTTTTGCCTGATAGGTACCTAGTTGTTTGGTAGAGTGTTGCGAGGTCTCCTTTGCTTGCAGCTTGTTCTGCTTCACTTGCCATGGCTTCTTAATATTTTCTTTTGTCTTTCCTGGCACTTTTCTTAACCCTTTTGTTCAGTGTATTGTAGCTTGCATTCAACTCTTGTTTTTGTTGCTCGTCGGTGCACTGGATAATCTTATGTTTCACCATCCTTCTCTCTTCTATTAGTCTCCAAGTGTCCGTAGTGAGCCACTGTTTGTCCTGTCTCTTCTTTCTGCCCAGAACTTCCATGCAGGTTTGACTTCACACCGTTTTCAAGTTGTGCCAGTGCTTTTCGAAGCCGACCTCTTCGCTGGTGTTGATTTGTGTCTCGGCTTTGTCCTTTATGCTTGCAATGAAGATGTCCTTTGTATCTTGGTCCTTCAGTTTTTGAGTGTTGGACTTGGCTTGTGGTCTATCTTCAGCTCCTGTGTCCCTGAAAGCTTTTAATTTGATTCGGATTGTCCCTTGTACGAGATAGTGGTCTGAGCCAACGTCTGCTCCTCTTCTTTTGTGTCCAGTAGGCTGGGCCTCCACTTCCCTGAGATTGAAATGAAGTCATTTTGGTTTTGGGTTCGCCCATCTGTTGACACCAATGTAGCCTTTTGGATATACTTGTGATGTATACGCTGCCACCATTCACTAGTTCGTTGAAGGCGCAGATGCCAGGGAATAGCTGTCCTGCGTAGCGAGTGTCTGAGATGTCCTCTACTTATGTGGTATAACAATAGATCCCTTATATTCTTTTTTTTTATTTTTTCATTGCTAGTTTCACAATTAATTTGTTTTTCATTTAGCCTTTTCTGATCTTCCTAATGATATTTATGGGATAGTTTTTTGATACCAACGCTTCTTCTATCTTTTTTATTTCATCATTTAGGTCTTTTCTTGTGCTACTTAGTGCTACTGCTTGGTTTGTTAAGCACCTAACTAAGCCTGACTTAATAGTTAACGGATGAGATGAATTAAAGTCTAAATATCTATTAGAATGAGTTGGTTTTTTGTACACACTAGTGTGCAGTTTACCTTCTTCTATTCGTTTATTTTACAACCTAACATAGCTAATTCTCCTTGTTCATTTTCCGATTCAAATATGAATTTTATTCCTTCTTCTGGTGAGTTTATATGTGTCAAGAAGCTAGAGATATGTTCTGTTTTTAACACTGTGGAAGTCATCCACATATCTCCACCATATTTTTGGAGTAGGATTAAATGTATTAAAAGCCATGTTTCCCGAGCTGTCCATAAATATATCTGCTTTGATAGGGGATATTGGTGATCCCATTGCTACACCTTCAGTTTGTCTATATATTCTGCCTTGGAATTGAAAGACAGTAGATGTGAGGCATACTGAATTCCTGAAATTTCTTCAATGGGTAGCTTCGTCCTATAAGTGGGGACTTACCATTATGTAATGTTTCACTAAACACAATCATATCCTAATAGTTTATCGGATTATTACGGTGGGACTGAGTCATCGTAATTTCGAAAGTAACTTTTATGATAGTGCTGTCTTATATATATTCCCTATGCTGTGTTAAAGTGGACCGTCTTAAAATAATATACGGTGGCTTGGAGGAGGTCATGTGAAGAGGAAATGAAAGCGTGTGGGCAGACTTGGAGCGGGGTGAAAACGTTGGTAGAAAACTGAACGCAATGAAGACGCGTGGCTGAAGCCCTATGTTCCTCTAGGAATTAAAGGAAATAATAATATAATAATAATGCATAGTTCTGTGGCTCATTTTAGTTGATTTATTTAGTAAACTTTCTTCAAAGTCCACTTTGGTTGTGTCTATTTTCACTGATTTTATCCCAAGTGGTTTTATTCGATTCTTTTCATGTTTTCAACAAAGTAATTTCACTCTTTTTATTTACTGGCTTTCACCTCTATCAGGCTCCTGCAGCAGCTGGTTAGAATATCTGCCTATGTTTCGGCAGCATTCTTCAGTGTCACAGCCTTCACATTCGCCGTCAACTTCCCAGCCATACTTCTCTAGGATACTATTGCCGAAAGAGTCTAGTAATGGTGCAGTTAATCATTCACGAAGAAGACATTCTGTTCTAAATGGTTCAAGTTCAAACTCATCTGAACGTTCAAAGCAGTCATACGTTTCAGCCTATTTTTCTCGTGATCAGGATACACGAAAAGGTTCACCAAGTTATATGCCAACTATCTTCAACTTTCAGCCTGTAAATGATTATCATTCTCCAGCACTTAGACGTCGCATTATTCGAGCTGAAAGCACAAAGACAAGTCTAATTGGAACACCTGAGCCTCCGAATTCTAATGTCACTATTCAGCGTGGTTTACAGCTCTTTGGGTCAAAGAAGCGTCTTCGTGAACCTGTGACTGCTAACGCAGAAGAATCAACTCATGGTGGATTTGATTTTGCAAGTTCTAAACGTCGACGAACCTCTGGTACATTCGACATATCTACCCTAGGTTGTACAACCGATATTGATGGCTTTTCCTTCACATCACTGCGTCAATTAAAAAACGAAGTCGTCATCAGGAATGTTCATTCAGATGCTAGCATAGTCTCTCATGAAAACAGTGGTCAGAATAGTAAATGTGTCCAAACTCAAGAGGTTAATGAATGTGGAGATAAGAAAACGGAAACAGGTATTCTTTTCACAGGGTATGTAGAGTCATCTGGGACTACCACTCGCGGGTCTGGTGCTGCTTTGAGGCGGAAGATTCCATACATGTCACCTTCTGAACTTGAGGCTCATTTGGTGTCTATCAACGCTGTAACATATTCGGAGCAAAATTCAGTCGATAACTCTTCGAACACAAGTGATGTTAGTCTTACAGAAGACGATACGCTGCCTGTTGTGTGTATGAGGAAGAAATGTAAAGCTCGTAGAATAGCAGACGAGGATAACCAACACAAGGACTCAGTTCTATCTTTAAATGTTTCTACGTCATCTGCAGTTAATAATACAGCAGACTGCGACTCTGAAACAGATGATTCAGAACCCACAGTTGTGAAGATAACTTCCCTAAATAGATTTATTTCCAACCTTGAAGGTCACTCAAACTCATTTTTCAACAAAATCGATCACTCACAAAGTAAGAGTTCATCGTTTAATTGCTCTCCAGGTGGGTTTGATATGGAGTTACGAGTGAAGCGCATTCGTGAACTTATTGCAGCAAAATCAAATAATCACGTTTCTGTTAGTTTGCCTAGTGTAGAAGCTCATGTTACCACTACTTCCAATACAATTAAGAGCATTTCTCAACCTACCACTCAGAATTTATCTAATCTGAATCCTCCTCCTATCACTTCTGTGTTATCATCAGTTCCAAGTGTATCTTCTATCTCTTCCACAAGTTTTACACCAAGTGTCGTGTGTAGTGCTCCTTCATTAGTTAGAACTATCACCTCAGTCAGTAGTGCAATATCATCTTCACCCTCATCTAAGCTTTCCGCTTTTCCTGTATCCAGTTCAAACAACGGAATTGCGAACACTCAGCCTGCCACGTCCACTACTGTGGCTGTGACGACAGTTGTCAGTCTGCCTGTAACTATAAGTTTCGGTTTTACAACCACGTCGAATGTATCAAGTTCACTCATACCAACGGCTACGGTAGGTAACGTGGCAGCAACTAAGGGGACATCAGTTGCGTTTTCTTTTCCTTTTTCTGCTTGTACTGCACAAATTGCAAGTTCAAAAGAGCCAACTATAACTTCCACAGTAGCACCATCAAAATCCCCCATATCATTTCCAGCTTTTACATCAGGCGTAAAAGTGGGTGTTACATCTACTCAAACTGCTTCCTCAGTAGTTCAGCCTGCCGTGTTTTCTTTTCCAAATAGTACCCCGACAACATCGACGGGTGCGGGGACTTTTATGGCCGTAACAACGGCAACAACAACAGCATCAGTGACGACAACAGCAGCAGTGACAACAACGGCAGCTTTTTCCTTTGTATTTCCACTCACTTCCTCAACTTCGTCGCCGTTACAAACGACTTGTAAGTTATTCGGTTTAAATACCTAACTTTTTCTCTGTAGTGTTGTTGTAAGCACTGAAACAGACTATCGTAGTTAATGTTCTTGTTTATTGTTTATGTTTAAATTATATCAGTAGTAACATGTTAAATAAGTGCATTATAATTCACAGAACAGATCTGTGGATAAATCAACCGGTGTGATTAACGTCATCTTCACAACTATGGTTTTATAAAATAAGTGGCATGAAATATCTATTGTAGACACGATCAACTTGATCAACTATTTGATAGTTCTTAAATCATTTGTTCATGCAACTGTTATGTTTGAACTCAGTTACACGGAACACTTGTGAGGACTTATGATACTACCCATTTGCCTGAGTTGAAGTAGAGCGGGACTCGGATCTGTGATCTATTGGCTGCATACCAAATGCCTGAGCCAACTGCTTCATGCAGATGACAGATTATTAGCTATTATTTGCTTGCAACAGTAGAACTTTTACCGACCATTCATATTCATCAAAACAAAATGTAGAAGGATGTTCAAAAGTGACGATATATATCCTGATGATACTAAAGAACGATTAAGCTGTTCCGTAAATTGCTTGATGCCTGTGGACTTTGGATTCTATTAACGTAATAAAACGCTTAGTAGAAAATTAGAATCCTTTGGTTTTGACCGTTAGAGGGATCGAATTTACTTTTGTCTGGCAGACTCTAAGCTGTAGTGAAGTAGTTATGGCCCCATTCAAAAAGGCGTATGAACCGGACTCCGGTCACCGGTTGCCAATGGATAGTGGACTCCCTACTCCACTCCTACTGCCTTGTAGGTCACACTTGGTTGTGTAAAGGCCAGAGCTGCACTCTCAAACGAAAGGCCGAGCGATGCTGGGGACATCACTCGTACCTAATTCCCATGAAACTTCATGAACTCTCTACAACATCAACCAAATTCCAGTACTGGTCCAACAACGTCGCCTTCGGTGGTTTGGCCATGTTCTGCGCCGACCAAATGGCGATCTGGTCAAATCAGTTCTAAATCCCTCGCCATTTCCATCTTGGCGATGTCGCAGGGGTGGACAGCTGAAAACATGGCTTGGTACAGTCAAGACTGATATGGAGTGCCTGGGGCTACAAACCGTCTACGGACTTCGTCTGTGGAACAAGAATTGGTTAACCCTGTCGCAAAACCTTGCATCAGATCCCCGCGCCTTAGCAGCGATGATTTGAGATGTTCATGAAGCTGGCTCATCCTCCCGTAGGAGATAGCCGAAGTAAAGAAGAAGTTATGGCCGGAGGGTTTTAGATTTTCCAACGAATATAAATTTTTCATACTAAATGGTTGAATCCTCTGTAATTACTGATTTTTTGGAGTTAACACCTATGCAGAAGGGTTATATATGCAAAAAAGTCGGAAAATTCTACTAGTTTGTAAAAGAAGACTAATAACAACCAGTACATGTGATATGTGTTAGTCTATCTGTTTTACTGTTGAACCATTGAGTATTGTTAAAATATTGACGTTACATTACTATAATTGTTAGTAAATATAGCTTTATTCTTCAGAACACCATAAAAGGTTTGGAGCTATTTCAGCAGCTGCCACCTATAGAAGGGATAACACTCAGTCCACCACAACTCATCCCATTTTAAACGGATATAAAAGTAATTCACTGAAAAAAGGCTTTTTTCAGCGAATTCATTCTCTAGATATACAATCGCATTGAGATGCAATTTTTTCATGAAGGAGGGCATCGCTGGAAAGAAGCTTTTCACTGAACTGCTTATCTTGTTTTTATTAATGTTCAGATGGGAATTTTTCATGAATATAAAAGTTGAATGTTAAGTTGAAAACACTACGGTAACATCCAATTTATCTTATAAGGCTCCCTAACTATTAAGGTTTAATATCTCTACTTATTTGTTAGAGGATTCAACAGGATATTCCCAAGCATGATGTTATATGAGACATTAATGCACACGTATTTGCTTTTAATTTTTAGCTTCAAGTGCAACATCAGCAACAAATACTTCAAGTGTTTTTGAATCTGTGAAGCCCATATCTACATTCAGTGGATTTTCTTTCTCAAAGTCGAGTTCTACACCATTACAGACTCCTAGTATATCAACTGTTGTGGCTAGAACTTCAGCTCAGAGTGATAGCAGCAGTAGTAGTTGTAGTAAATCTTTCAACTTTGGTACAAGTAATTCTCAGCTTCCTTCAGGAACAGCTTCAATATTTACATTTGGTGCACCCAAGACAACTGTTTCTTCGTCTAATGTAGTTCCATCCCTTAGCATCACTTCGAGTTCTGCATCATCATTTTTGAGTTCGTTTTCCAATCCTACATCTGTAACAAGTAGCTTTGCATTCGGATCAAATGTATCTAAGCCGCCTACCACATCGGTTGTGTTCGGTACTCTTGGTCAGTCTGCTGTTACAACAGCATCTCTTAGCAGTGCAAATAATATGGGTCTGTTTAACTTCACATCTCCAGCTGCTAGCAGTTCTAGTTTATCTTTATTTAGTTCTACCGGATCTACCACTGTTAACTCCTTATTCCCAACGTCTGTATCTACTGTCAGTACTGCTAGCACAGCGTTATTTTCGACTCCTGTGTCTGTGTCTCAGTCCACATCTATCGCGAATAATCCTTTCACTTTGGGGATTAAACCAGCAAGTGTAACACCTTCAACATCTTCAACGTTATTTGGAGCAAATAGTCAGCTTTTTGGATCTACAAGTGCACCATCTATGAAGTTCAGTTTTGGTCAATTAACACCTAGTACTACATCTGGTGCAGCCACTACTAACGTGTTTTCATTCAGTTCAACCAGTGTAACGACATCTACAACTTCTGTAACCTCCTCCAGTACACTATTTCAGTTTGGTAATTCTAGCTCCTTACCTAAGGCATCAGCAGCTACGGTTTGTCAAACATTCTCTTTTGGTTCATCTGCTCCTTTATTTTCGTTTGGTCAGCAGTCAACAGCTGTATCATCCCAACCGACAACGTCAACTTCAACACTTAACTCATGCCTTACTGCCGCTGCTTCTGCTGCCCCTGCTATCACCAGTGCTACTGGTTTTCAGTTTGCTCCTACTACTGTATTTCCAAGTAACAATTCTTCGGACAATTTTGGAGGGTTCAACTTCTCTCAATCTCCAGCATCATCGTCAAGTGTTGTTAATCCGCAAGATGCTGGGTTTATTTTTGGTCAAACAGGGTCGAATACTAGCGTCAGCGCCAATCCATTCACCTTTGGTACATCTAATGGTCCATCGACCAGCTCTACGAGTACTCCTCGACGTCGACCTCATTCAAGCAGGCGCTCTCGTCGTGTATAATTTCTAACTATTGAGAAAATTCAATTCCTTTTTCAGATGAATAATATTTTTACACCAGAGCTATTGTGTGCAAGTGTGTAAACACGAACAATTTTTGACCATTGATTAAAAAGAGTCATACATCCCCGTATTGTCTTCACAATAATTTGTATGGAGTTTTTCAAATTCCCCTTTTGTAATATGATAATATTTAGAAGTTTCTTCACTTTATCCTTTTGTGAATAGACAGATTTCCAAACAGGTGTCCTTTATGTGTTATAAATGTAATCCTTAATCATTATTTTGCATTTGGAGGTAAATCGATTTTTTGATTCTATATGAAGATCGGATCTAGATCTCGTGTCCTGGTGCCAGTAGAAAACTGTTTACTTAGTAAAGTGCATCCATATTTTCTATGGAAGTTTAGCTGTGTAGTTAAGCGATAATTATGTTTGAAGCAAAGCAGTCTCATGAATTACAATGAGGTGAATTGCTTCTTGCCTATCACATATGAAATTTCTATGCGCTTATAGGAAGGAGCTGGCCAGCGAAATAAGTATGCCAAAGAGTTATCGGGTATTGTGGAATCGTTTATGCGTCATCCGTGATGAATATAGGCTGCATGTGGAAAATACTCCTACGAAGCGTTATTTATCTAGAATGCGCGAACACTTCGAGTTATCTTATCTGTAAATTAAACTTTTATATTTGATCACCAGAGGCGAAAATGCGACATCGATTACTATCATTCAGCCGGCAACTGAGTTAGTTGAGGTGATAACGAGTGTCGAACGAATTAGTCCCTAGAACCTTGAGAGTGTCGTGAATTTCACAATTACATAGGCATATGTTATGGGAAGTGGGTGTAACATTCCTCAGTATGGTTTTAAATTATGCAAAACCACATACTTCATTGAAATAGGCTCTGTTGAACTTTCCCATTGTCCAACACCTACCGCAACTGAAAATGCATAAGCTATGTCTAGTGTAATCTGGAGAAAAGCAGTAGGGACTGATGGAATAACTCCAGAGGTGTTTAGAGATGGTAATGATTTACTGTTGATTAGGCTATCCAAGATTTTAGGTAACATGCGGGGGTCTGAGATAGTACCGTTAAATGAGTATAAACCGTTGATCTTCCCAGTAAATAGGAAAGGAGGGGTCTTGTGGGGAATTAGCTTGACCAGCGTTCCATAGACTGAGTGGTGCTCAGGAGGAAAAAACCGGTGAAAAGCACGCAGACTGTAGACCTAGGCAAGGGTGTACTGGTCAGATTCTAGGACATGAGTAGTTACTGTCATCGATTACTAGCCGTACTTTCTAACCCGAAGTCACCACTTGACTCTATTGACTGAGATTGTGCTGCAAAAGCGAAGGCGTTATCGGGAAAATGTATTGCACGAATCAAGGCGAGGCTCAGTCGTGTAAGCGACCATGGAGATTTACCATCTGAGGTGATGACAACTGGTAGTGTCTGTTAGGGATGTACACTGTCTCAATTTTCGTCCGATTTCATCTTAGTTAAACTAATGGGTGGGATTCCAGTTGACTTTAGTTGCCTGGGTATTGGAAACATTCATTTACTGATACGTACTTTTGTGGCGACTTGAACTTCCGCACATTTGTGCAAAGTTCTATGTCGAAAACAGACAGACAGATACGTACTTTAAACAAGCAATGGGTTTAAGTATATGTATTAATTCCCTGGATCCTACTTTAAATAACATTTTCGGCTTGTTTTAACTTGGAGATTGACTTGTCACCGGGTATTTGTCGTCGATTTCTAGTCTGAATTTGAAAGTCATAGTTGAAGACAGTGTTCTTGAGCAGAAATCTGAGTGTGTTTGGCATACACTTATCTCCCTTCAAATGCAAAACCAGTCTGCATGGACTCCTATTTTAATGATAGAAGGTGAAGTGCTTGGGTGTGTTGACAGCGTCACTTATTTTGAAAGCTTCTTCAACTCTGACTGACCGATTACTGACGAAATCTGAGCATGGATACGACAGGCTGATATAGCATTTGCTAACTTACGTAGACGTGGTTTTTGGATACCGATCAAAGGGAGCTTGTCGAGCGCGGCAATCGGCTTCATTCTTTGTTTCTGTGAGATATGACCGCTTGAAGAGATTAGCTGTCTTTTATTATAGTTGTTTGCTTTCGCTCCGCCGAGTTGACTGGTATAATACGATGGTTAGTATTGAGATTAGGCGTAGATCGTTGGGTAAGGAGGGTAAGTCAATCGATAAGGCTGTGAACGTGAGTCGGTTAAGATGGTTAGGACATGTGTTGTGTATGTTATTTGTCTTCTTCGTCGAGCAGTCTTGTCTGACATGGAATTGAACTGGGGGAGAGTTAGGGGTGCTCAGGACAAAACGGGTTATCAGTCCACTATGTCACAAGTGGGTCTACACTGTCTGCTTGGGGTCTTTGGGAAGCCAATAGTTAGTGACTTATTAATGTGGCTCAAAGCGGTTCTGAGGAGCGGAGATGCATTCATTGTTTTTATGAAAACTCTAGATTCATCTGGTTGTCGTTATTCCCAACTTACTTATACTTTCTCTTGCCCATTTCCTTGATTTCTTTTCCCTACCTTTTTGTGCTTTATGAAGTGTAGTAACTTGAACTGCTACAAGTTTGTGCGAAGTTCTATATTTAAAACTCCGTCCATCCAAGCAGGGTTGTTTACAAATTAACTCTACACTTTCGTAACTAGTATGTTGTGAATATTGGAAAGTGATAAAATATTAAAGAGCAAAACAGTCACACACTAAGTGCCAAATTTAGTAGTTAGTGTCAGCTTAGGTTGCTGCTTTTCATCTTGCAACTCAACTAATTAATGCTCATAGCTAGGTAGTGCGTATAAGTGTTTCTTCAGGGGATTGGTATTCTGACCTTCAGCAAGTATGCACTGAGTTCAAAGCCTTTACATATAATGAGGTTCGGAAGCGTATAGCATCGACACAATAAACTCAGCTCACTCATAGACGCACAGTAACATGTGGTTACTGTGTCACTTTGTCGTTATATCATTTGTAGAATCTCTTAGTCTTATTATAAGCTTTTTATCACGGAGAAAGTGTCGGTCGTTGCTCACCTAAGAGAGTATAGTCCCTACGAGCAGTCATGTTAGTACAAATAATTCCTCGGTTTCTCAACAAATTTAAGCTTTAATTCCGGCAGTGATGAATACTGAATCATAAGATTTCCCTAATTTCCTGAAATCACTTGGTCTGGCACTGTTTTATGGTCTTTTTTAATTTATTAATTATTGTATTCTTTTACGTTCCTAGTGGGACATAGGGCTTTAAGCTACAGCTTTGGAGTTTCGGTAGCAGTGTTTGCCTTTACGTGATGTGGTTGCTAGCCTCATGCCCAACCTTCCCTATTCACCAGCCTTATTACTGGCTTAGCGTGGTAAAGGAGGAATGAATTGATCAGGGGTCGAACCCCGAACCACTTGCGTGGTATAGTATGATTCGCTAAATACCACTTATTCAAAAACGTCAAAATCGCTTATCACATACACAACAGTACCAATTTCCAGTAGGCTAAGCTGCTTGGATATGATTAAAAAGCGTGCAAAAGTTATATCTTAATTTTATTTTCCAAAACAAATTTGAACATAATCTATTTTTGTTTAAAAAAACACTCAACTGATTATAAGTTTCTTTTTGTACGCAAACAATCCTTCCGCATACAGTTTTCACTGAGTGCGTCACGATTTTGCGAGTGTCTTTTAAACGTGTTAACATTCAAACATTGAAAACGGTTGTAAATTCTTATTAATCTCATTGGATTTGATTGACTATTCTTTTGAAGCGAACAAACCTGCTTGCATCAGCATTGGATTTGTCGGTTGTGAGAATTCATTGAAATTACGACTGGTATTATCAGTAGTTGATACTCTCAGTACTCTGTTCATTAGTGTACATCTAAAAGGATATTCAAAGATTACTGTTAATTTTTTGTGTGAATAATACACCATTTGATTAAGTGTAAACTTGTTTCTATGACTTAAAGTAGAAATCACTCACCTGTATTCTGTTTTTCACATCAGTAACATTTTATAATACCCATTGTTACAATTTAACTATACGTTGAGGGTGGGACTGGTCGTCTTATTCTCTGAATAGTTCAGCTCAGGCGAGTTGACAAGCCTTAATCCTTAACCTACGATGCATATATGGTTTTGAGGCAACAGCAACGACGACTAGTATAATATATTGTCATGATTACCAATAGCAAGCGAAATCGACTTTTGATATTGATCCACTCCTATTTTAGATTAGAGGTTTGTTAATGGGACTTTGAAACTCTTCTCTGTCTCAGCTTATATGCTTGTACAATATTTTGATTGCTATTCTTTGCGTGAAATGACGGTGAGGTTTTTAGATTGGTTATATGACATCCTCGCAAATAATCAAGTATCGTGCCTTATACACTCTATTGAATTATTCAGTTCACTGTTATTATACCATCTTTGTTATTTTCTCACATATAAACTGCTATGTTTTCAGTACTATTGTGGTGAGTGCTGTCTCTGTCTGTCTAGATTCAACATAGAACTTGGCACCGAAGTGCACCAGTTCGAGTTGCCACGTTCCAAATAGCACACAGAGGTAGACAAGAAGATGAACGAAGAGAATCAATAGAGTTTGACAAGTATAAGAGTGAAACAGAATGGGTAATGGTAGAAAGAAATATGAAAGATTACAGAGACTGAATACATCTGCGCCATTGACAACGATTTTGAGCCATGTCACCTATTGTCTCCAGCCATTGATTCCTAGAGTCCCGAGGGCCCCAACCCGGGAGTCTACATCTCCCTACCTGACTCAGTTTAACTGTCAAGGATTTCATGGATTGATCCTACTTATAATCAGACATAAGTAGTATATCTGCAGACGAATTCAGAAAAGCGACAATATGTTTCGGACACTGGAAAAAGCAGTCGATGTTCTCATCTACATTTATCATTTTGAGTGGCTATATGGTTGCTTTCAAAAAGTTATCCCAGGTCGTGATGTGTAGCAGCTATGTGTATCGTTTAAAATTTCTGCTTCAATTTTTTGTGTCTTGATGAAGATTGGGAAACAATTATCACTGCCTATGACTTTAAGAAGCCTCGACATTCGCTTACAATAAAGCTGGCATACGGTACCAAACTACATTACTTCACAATTGTCGTGAGTTTGTTGAAAAGGTACAGCGTTATGATCGTAAGTTAACTAACACTTTGAAAACCTGAAGATAGTTTTAAAATTAACGCACTATAGCTCTCCTTAAACCCTGCAATCAGTGACATTCTGGGGATGGTAATATGCATCTAATTAAGATTATATAGTTTTATGTGTTGATCATCTGAGTCTCAGATGGTCGATATGGGACTTATTTTGCCCCACTGAGGCAAA